ATAGATTAGAAATGGGTTAATTTATATGTAAGGACTAGCCAATAAGAAGTCGGAGCCCCCAGCCACCATATGGTGGCTTACAACTATCTGTAATAAGATCTGGTACCCTCATCTGGCCTGTAGGCATTTATGCAGGCAGAACACTGTATATATAATAAATAAACAAACAAAACAAAGAAGTCTGAGCCATCGGTCAAGCAATTATAATCAATTATAATCAATATTAAGCCTATGAGTGATTATTTATAAGTGGCTGCAGGGGCCAGCAGATGGGAAGAAACCAGTCCAGTGGGACCGGACTGGACAGAGAAAATCTTCTGGCTAGAATAAAATACAGATTAAAAACCCTTTTATCCATAAGGGTTTACGAATGACTCACTGTGTCACTATAGCTTCCGTGATGATTAATTTTTCCCTTCTCTCTTTTTCTTTTCCTTTTTAGTCTTAAGTTTTATTTTATTTTATTTTGTGGGGGAGGTTGCAAGGCCAGAGGATGAATACAAAAAGATAAAGAAATGAATGGGATAGGCATGCATGATGTGAAAGACACAAAGAATAAATAAAAAGAGGGAAATGGTGCCTTTACTGTTCATAAATAAGTATCAACAACCCCCTCAAATTAAAAATTTGGAGGTACTGCAAAGTCCAAACAAAAAATAAGCTGAAAACATTAATTGAAAAACCTGAACATCTAATTTGGGCAAGAAACAAAGGGAACTCAACTGTCATTTCAATTAAGGAAAGCCGCCTACAATCCTCTGACAATTAATGCTATTTGTTGTTAATTAGCACTTACCTATCATTTTGGAAAGTCCTCTAAAAGCTAATACTTAATACAGATAATCCTATATAACAAGCAATTTGTGCTTTTTAAAATCCCTAAGTGTGAGCCAAGTAGCTGTATGAGAGTCTAAAACAGAGCATCAAGAAATACAACAATATAGTGAATTAAGTGAGAATGCTACAACATGAGTAGTGTTAGTCTAAATTACAGAAAAAGCACGCACATAAAAAGACAGATACAACATTTCAACAACTGCTTCTGGGATCCTGAAAGCTCATAGAAATAAATTTAAAGCTATGCAATTTTAAGTAAGCAACTTTCTCAGGAAAAGCTTACCTAAGCTAACCTTAATGAACATACTTTCAAAGAAAAAATTGCAATGTTAAAGTCTTAAACGTTACATACAAACACCACGTGCCCCCCAGGAGAACCTTACCTAGAACACTTAATGTAGCAACAGAGTGCTAACAAGGAAACATTCAAGAGCAGAAGCGGTTCCTAAAGGCTCACAGACCACTCATCACATCAATCTTCAGATCATAAGCCTCTAATGGTCAACTGCTAAAAAGTAACATAATACTTTCACCATTTGTCTGTGTCCAAGTCACAGTTCTGAATTAAAGACAGAAAATGTAAGAACCTAAATCCAGCTCTGCTTCAAAAAAGAAAACTAGCTTTTAGATGATTTCCTTCCAAGAAAATGGAAACCTTGTTATGTTCTCATCGCTATACCTAACATATCTTTCCCTTTTCATTCAATCTGTCAGCCCAAGCCACTCAATTTTTAAAATTGTATTTATTTGTTCACTCATTCACTGGGAAGGGGGAGCATGTTCTGATGTTCCTGTGGAGGTCAGAGGACAAATTGCAGGAATAGGTTCTCTCCTTCCATCATGTGGGTCCAGGGAATCAAACTCAGCTTATCAGGTATGACTGCAGGCACAGTTACCTATTAAGCCATCTCCTTGTTTTGAAAAAATTAATAATGAATATTCATTTTTACTATCAATTCTATTTTTAATATTTAAAAGGATAAAAATCAAAACCATATCCAAAAATGTAATTACAAAAAGAATCACATATTATACTACAAACTAAACATACTTAACAACACAGAGAGGGGTAAATTATACAATGAAATGTATAAAGAAGCATTTAATGATTTGGTAATGTATAGATTAGATCATTAAATTTAAAAGTAGGCTCCAAAGACAACAAAATGAATTTTGTTAAGTCACAACAGAAGCTGAGAGTGGTAGTATAAATATGCCTAGAGCACTCAGCAGGTGAAGGCAGGAAGATCAGAAGCTACACTTACACAGGTTAAAGGCTAATCTGGGCTACATTTAACTCATTAAAGATTTTAAAATAGCAAGTATTCAATACTAACTTGCCAAATCAATGTTAATTCAGCTATCTCAAGAGATCAGGAACTAATAACACTAAAGGAAACTTGTCCAACATACAATGCATTTTACTACTTTTATATTACTTCAACACTGATTTATAAGTAACTTTCAATTTTTCTTCAAACAGGATCAGTTTACTTTTTATATATAAAGAATTGTGTGCTTGCCCCTTTAAGACAGTGGTCACTTTCAAGTAGCCAGACTACAGAGAACAGGCCATTCTTCCCTTGAAGGCTCTTCCTAACACAGAATTAAGAAAACTCTTTGTCCTGTATCCTAACAGCAGCCCCCGATTTATGTTACTAACCAGGCCCTGGCTCTTCCATGATCCTGTTCACATACTCTATGTTGAACCAAATCATGTGACGTGAAATTTCCCGCCAGACCCTACAAAACTTACATTAAAAAGTCTAATACTTTCCCCTCTCTTCCCTCCTATTTTCTCTTGTTCTTTATGAAGCTTCTTGCCAGGCTTTCAAATGGAGCTTCTGTTTTCATTTAAGACCCTCATCATGTTTTGGCCTTTCTCATATATTGTGCCGTTTAATGTTTAATGCTTTGCTTCCCACCATGAGGCCCCATCACAGCCTGGAGGCCCTTTCTCCAAATAATCCTCATTCCTGAAAGAAATCATGTATTAGCTTTCTCTTTCCCTGGACTGACCGCTGTTGTTTTATCATTATTTCTTTATTATTATATTTAACATATAACAGATGCAAAATAAAATTCTGGTGGACTTTATAATCGTGGTGTATCTTTGTATTTTTAATTTAAAATACAGTAGAGTCTAATAAGATCACCTCATAGGACTAGAGGTGTTTAGTAGAGTAGAACTTAAAAGATATTAGATCATAAAGCAGTGTAAGGACGAAAGAAAGATGGCTTCAGGATACAGCTTCCAGGCGAAGGGTGCCATATGAGGGGTGAAATTTTGAGATGATGTAGCTGTTTCAGGGCGTCTGTAAGTCTCCTCACCTCAGCGTGTAAGCAAGCCCTTTAAGCTCATTAGTCTCAACAAGCTGGATTTTGGTCTGTGGTTAGTACCCAAATGGAGTAGACAGATACTTGCGTCTCCCCAGAAAAATTCAACACAGACAAATCATATAAACTGACTTTCACATTGGAACTTTTAAAAGAAAATTAAAGTTTTCAAATGTAAAAGCAAGGGCTGGAGAGATGGCTCAGTGGTTAAGAGCATTGCCTGCCCTTCCAAAGGTCCTGAGTTCAATTCCCAGCAACCACATGGTGGCTCATAACCATCTGTAATGAGGTCTGGTGCCCTCTTCTGGCCTGCAGAGATACACACAGACAGAATATGTATACATAATAATTAAATAAATAAATATTAAAAAAAAACAAAAACAAATGTAAAAGCAAAGCAAACAAACAAGTATACTTTAGATGAATAAAGACAGAAAAACAGAAAATGAGAGAAAAGGTTTCTATTTCTTTAATTGTAAAGAATAATTCAGTGGGAAAAAGAAAAATTGAGAAGTGACAAGTGATGAGAACTCAGTCTAGTCATTTCCTATTCACACTTTTAGGAATGACCAAAAAAATGAAGAAATATTATTACTGACTATTGAATTAACTTTACAACAGCCCGAAGGGTAAAAACCTTCCTAGCCTGATAGAGTTGATACGGGCATAAATAAAACACAGTAGGCAAAGTGATAGTTGACAGAGCAGAAAGAGGTAAGGTAGACAGGAGTTCATTACACTGCTCTCTACCTTTGTGTATGCCTGAGTATTTCTAGTAAAAAAATTTTTTTCCAGATATGGATATTTTTTAACCCAACCAAGTATTTCCAGAACTTCACTTACACAACAATTTAAGTAAAAGAAAATCCTAAGAAACACTGAAAGCAAAGGCCTGAAAATGACCTGAGTATTTATTGGAAAGTGGTTGAATAAATTATGATTCATTTAAATGCAGTATTGTCATATAACTATGTTAAAAGATTTTAGGATATAATGGTACATGTTTGTAATTCCAGCATTCCTAAAGAGAAATGAAAGGTGGAGATGGGATTATCACCTGGAATCTTGCAGGCCAGATAACCTGAAGTGAGCAATACAGCAACAAAAACAAGAAAAGACCATGCCTTGAGAAAACAGAAAATGGGAACTGAGGCTTGCCGGCTGTTTTCTGATCTCCATATGTGCATTTTGGCAAGAGTGTGTATAATCCACTCACACAACAAATGTGCACAAAATAATTAAAATTCTAAAAATGGTATTTAGGAAAGAATAAAAGAATCATTAAGCCATATAAACACATTTTGTGCCCAGGTGCACGGGCAGATGCAGTCTTAGTAGTGGGGGATTATATAAAAATATTAGAAGGAGCCTGGAGTATATACTGCTCTTGCACAAGAACCAAGTTCAGTTTCTGGCACCCATCTCAGATGGCTCAAAACCACATGTAATTCAAGCTCCAGAGGATCTAACACACTCTGTCCACTGTAGTCATCTATTTTCACAGGTGTACGCACACACACACACACACACGCACGCACGCACGCACGCAGACTAAAAATAAATGTTTGCAAATGTTAGAATACAGAGCTTTTAAAAATGGAAATGGTGATATTCAGCATACCTGGAGATAGTGACTAAAAAGAAAAACAGAGTATGTAAGAATCGAGTTGAAAAGAACTGGCAAATCTACTTTATAAAACTGTCAAAGAAGGATTTGTTGGCAGCATGTAGAGCAGGCTAGACTCTCTGAACGCACCGCATCTTTTGTTTTCTTTTTGGCTTACTTTCTGGACATTAAAAAAAATTACAAGCACAATTATCAGTACCTCATTTCCTGATTCTAGTGATCTCTTCTTCCGTGGTCCAATAGCTGCAAGAGCTGTGAGATTAGCATCTCTGTATTGGATCTGGGCGAGCTCCAACTGCTGCAACTAGAAGATGGGGGAGAAAAGAAAGTCCTTGTTTACACAGATGCTCAGGGAAAAAGAAAATATCATTAAAGTAGTTTCTGCATTTATTCCCAAATAAAATTATATAATAAAATGAATACTGACTCCCTTGCAGCCAAGGGCACATTCCTGATGTCTTGACTCCACTAACTCGTAGTCCCAATCTTTACAAAGAAGAGACAAAGTTCAGGGAAGAGGAAATCAAACAGTGCTTGTACATTACAGAGCTCATTCTAGTATGTTGTATCATTTACAAACTACTCTCTTAACTTTCACAAACACATTGAAAGGGTATTCACTGACTGTTCAAACAAAAAAAAAATTAGACAGTGAGGGTCGAAGAGATTAGGGCAATTTCATAGAAATCACCCCCAAAAGAGGTAGAACCAGTACTCAGAGATAAATGTTCTCACTACAAACATTTACTAATAAGACTCATGGATTTACTCTGTATTTGCCTTCATGGTAAAAACCTTGAGTGATGTAGTTTAGTCCAGAATGGCCAAAACTACAAGGTACAATTTTTCAGTCTTCAGGCAACAGTACAGAAGGTAATCACAAATTATGTCTTATGAAGAAGGATTTCATCAAAGTGATTATGCATAAAAATAGTTATGTATTTTGATAAAGACAAAGTAAAAATAAAACACCACTGCATAAGCCCCTCAGTTTTACTAGAAGAGGAAAAATGTTCAATTCTCAAGAAAATCTTACTGCTATATAAGGCAAAAATGTTGTTGAAACTGAATGATAGTCACACTCCAACAGGATCAAGACAGTTCACTGAGAAAAACTTACACTGGAAATATTCCTGGCGGGGGCGGGGGAATAACCAAAGTTCAAACACATTATAAAATAAGGATGACAGCACATGAACCTTCATCTTAGATCTCCTAGTTTTCAGAGCTGTGCAAAGTAAAATCCTATGGAATATAAGCTACTCACTAAGGGGCTTTTGATATAGCAGCATAAATATATTTAGACAACAATTAATCCAAGTACATAAACTAAGAATGATATTCTATTTGCTCCAAAAATCACAGGACCGAAATCTTTTTTAAGCAGTAGGCTTTCTTAAAAATATATTGTTTGGTAAGGGTTTTCAGAAGTTGTAAAATCTTTGAAAAAAAAAAAACTATGGTCAAGAGTCTGAAGCTGGCACAATCCAGAACTTTTTCTATGTATCAAAAACAAAAAAGATTTTAGTTAATCTACAGCACAAATCAAATAAAAATGTACTTTAAAGGCCTTCCCTATAAAGAGATAGGGTATCTTAAAGAGAGTCGTATGAAATGAGGACTCCCTCCCACCCACCGAAAGAAAGGTTTTCAACCTGACTATGTAAAAATCCTTTACACATACTATTCTAGAAAATAGGATGTTGCTGTAGCAGTTTGGAAGATAAGAATGCAGAGAGTGCTGCAGACGATGGAGGCCTGGCTTGTGAAGTTTCAGGGGAAAGTGAAGACTTTGCTGGGAACATTTATGTGCCATTGTGAAATAATCTAGTTCTGGTCATGGCACTGAAGAATGAGCCATGATTAACAAGAGACCAGCATCATTGAAGTGAAATCTTTGCTTTAGAAATGAGTAGTGATTAACAAAGACTAACACTATTGAAGATTAAATCTGGGAGTGTTTACTCATATATACTGGGGGCTGAGGCTGGATCTCCTGCTGGCAGCCAAACTGCCATCACTAAGATGGTCCAGGTGTAGTAGCCGCCCACGCCTTTAAGCCCAGCCCTGGAGAGAGAGGAGCAGATAGATCTCTGTGATTTCGAGGCCAACCTGACACACAAGTTGCTAATCTACAGTGAGTTCCAGGAAAGCCAGAACTACATTGAGAGACCCTGTCTCAGAAAACACACACACACACACACACACACACACACACACACACACACACACCGGGGGAGGGAGGTGATAGGAAGAAAGTAGGAGAGGAGGGATGGGGGGAGAGAGAAAGAATGTTACTTGGACGGTATTGGATTTAAAGCCATGAAGGAGTCATGGAAAGTAGCTAAGGCTTATAAGGCTTGGTACTATGTGGCAGGGCTAGAGTTTCTGAAGAGGCTACCACGGAAGGTAAAGCCCAGCTACAGACTCCCCAGCATTTTAGAGATGCCGGTAACATGGGGCAATGAGCAAGGACAACAGCAGCTGTGGAGTGGAGCTGCTCTGAGCCCAGAGAAGCTGCACATGCTTATTAACGGCAGAATCAGAGAGGTATGAACACCAGACATTTGACAGTGAGTAATTAGCCTGGTTAGAGTTTAGTTTTGCTTTAATTTGACTGTGACTGTGTCCTGGTTCTTCCTTCTTGGAATAAGAAGGTATGTAACTATTTTTGTTGTTATTTTATAGGCACCCACAGTTGAGAGACTCTGAACTTTTAGAGAGATTTGGGGATTTTAGAGACTTGGATATTCAGAGAACACTGTATGTGTTGGAAAGATGTTCAATATTTTAGAGAGCCTCTGGACATTTGGGAAGTCTTTGGATACTTTGGAGAAGCTTTGAACTTTGAAAGAGATTTTGGGTATTTTAAAGAGAACTTTAAAAGTGTTTGAATTTTTAAAAACATTGAAACTTTCAAACCTTGGAATATACTTTATATTGTGGTATTAATATGACATCTTGAGGACAACAAGTCAGAAAAGGTTATGGTTTAACAGTGTCGACTTGTGTGTCAAGCTGACAAGGAGTTAAGTATGTTTGCTAGTTTTATGTCAGTTTGACAGAAGCTTTAGTTATTGTGAAAAAAGGGAGCCTTAATTCAGAAAATGCCCCATTGGAATGGACTGTGGGAAAACTTTTGGTGCATTTTCTTAATTGATAATTGATGTGGGAAGGCCTAACTCACTGTGGGTGGTGCCACCTGGGCTGGTGATCATGGATGCTCTAAGAAAGCTAACAGAGGAAGCCAGTAAGTAAGCAGTGATCTTCCACAACACCTACTTCAATTCTAGTCTCAACTCCCTTCATGACAGACTGTGACCTACTTTTGTCTTGGTGTTTTTATAACAGCAATAAAAACCCTAACTAAGACAACTATATATTAATTTTCAAATATTAAAGCTACTTTACATCTCTTGGGTTGATACTATGTTGTGCTGGTCTACTTTCTTTTCTATATGTTGTTAGACTTGACTATTATTATTCTGTTGATGTCTCCATGGGAGATACTGGATGTCTTGTTCTGAAATATCCTTCTGGTTTTGAATATTAGTTTATGCTTTCTTGAGAAATAAACTGGAGATATTACTTCTTAGATTTTTTAAAGAAATGGTATAAAAGTGGTATCAAATCTTATATAGATAGAATTTACATAGTAAAATGATCTGCACTTGGGTTATAAGTACTAATTGCATTTATGTAATAACTATAAAACACTTGAAGAATCATGTTCAATTCCCAGCACCCATATGACAACTCACAACTATCTGTAATTCCAAGATCTAACTACCTCACACAGACATACATGCAGGCAAAACACCAATGCACATAAATGATTAAAAAAGAATATGCTTTTAAAAACAGTGAATAAAACATTAATTAAATACACATTGGTACAGTTCAAATATGAAATTTTCCTCAAGAGGCTAAGGCATTGACAAGATAGGCCTCAGCTTTTGGCACTAGGTCGGAAGGATTTGGAAACGCTATGAAAGTGGAACCTAACTCTAATAAGTTAGCTTGTGTTTTGAGGCTAAGCTTATCCTGAACTTCTCCCTTCTCTGATTTCAGTTTTGCATGGCTAAGCAGCCTCTACCACAAATATACTGTCATTATGATGTTCTTCTTGCTAAGGGTCTAGAACCAACAGATTTTCTATATACTGGAACCTAAGTTCAAAGACCAAAACATTCTTCCTTTCCTACATTGTTTTGCTAAGGTATTTGGTTAAAGCAAAAAGAAGTCAGACTACAACAGATATGGTCACCCTCACTTAAACATAATACTTATGAACTGTTCAGGATAAAAATGTACTATAGTTATCTTAGTTTATCCTAAATAGCAATCCATTCATCTGTCCCATTCTCCCCCATAGTTCTTCATCTATGTATTCCTGCCTCCCCTTTACTTTTCTTTGTGTTTTCTGGGGGGAGGGGAGGAATTAAATAAAATATTCAGGGTTAGTCTGAGCCTAATGCTAAGACTGATGGAATAACGTTACCCGAACTGTTCCTTTGGTTCATGGTTCTAAGCCTTTACAGTTCCATCTTTACCTAAGTTATGACTGCCAGTTATAAACAATACACTTGCTATGCTACATTTAAGTAGAAAAGAACAAAAGTAAGTTCAAAGTGAAGCAACACACCTGAGCATTAGATCCATATGGAACTCACAACTCCTGACTTCTAGCCCACAGCTATTTCTTTTATGAAATGTGCATACCTCTTCCAACAAGAGACCACTATGTCTAATATACATAGATCCAACATCTCAAAACTAAGAATTTGTGCATCTACTCTCAGTAAAGGCCTTCTGCAAAAAGATCACTTGAAAAATTTTGTGATGGCTTTCCTGGTCCCCAAAGAAACTTACAGAAGGATCACTGGATGATAATCCAATATCGCCAGTTCAAGATCCTAAATTTCCAATTCCCAGATCACAATGTTATACCTTCAAAAGGGAATAGAAAAATAACAAAATTTAAAACATCCTTCTTTCTCTTCCTAGATCAATGATTCTGTGGGCAATCTCCTGAGCAGCAGCGACAGCAGGAACCTCTGGAAATGCACATTTCCAGGCCCTACCCTACACCTACTCTAAAACTTCTTTACCCAGGGACCAGCAACTTGTATTTCAAACACTCCAGATAACATTCATATACATTAGAGTTTGAAAGTCACATTCTGAGACTGTCAGTGCTTTGAATCATCTTTCACTGCGATGGCATACACGAGTTTTTTTATAACTTGTCATTTTAAGAATGTCTTCATCATATGTTATTTTGATTTCTACAATAGAACATATATATAATATACTTTCAATAAAAGATTTGATTGCCTTGATCAACATTCCACAAGTCCTTGGCACATGCAAAAATAGCATTAAACACAAAATACTACATTTACAGTTACCTTTAAGTACCTATCATGTTTCATTATTTCACATCTTTTAAATTTCCACTACAAAATGTGTCAGTTCTGGGCATGGAGGTTCTTATAATTTCATCACTTGGGAGACTGAGGCAGGATTAACAGAAATTCCAGGCTGATCTATCTCATATAAAAACTGGGTGTGGTATTACATACCTTTAATCCCAGCACTCAGGAGGTAGAGGCCTTGGATCTCTGTGGGTTTGAGGCCACTCTGGTCTACATAGAAAGTTTCAGAGCGACATAAGGAGACTCTGTCTCAAATAAACAGAACAAAACAAAACAATGTCCTCCAGGTATAGTGGCACACACCTTTAATCCCAGAATTTGGGAGGCAAATGCAAGAGGATCTCTATGAATTCCAGGCCAACCTCCTCTATACAGAGTGTACAAAGGCAGCCAGGGCTAACTAATGAGATGCTGCCTCAAAACAAACAAACAAACAACAAAAAAGTAACAACAGCAAAAGACCAACTAACAGATTCTGCGCTGCCTTTCTCATATTATACTTTCTATTCAGAAATGAGGCCTTATATGCGGAACTCTATTAATTACACAATAATGGTCACCGAGAGATGCACCCTGAGTTTTCAGTTCATAATCTATTTAGAAAAAAGCCTTATTTCAGAGTATATTTCTAATCTGCTATGCATTTTAATCCCCCCCAGGTTACTATGCAAAGTCAATGTGCCAACATATACATTATTGTAGTTCTTTTATTCCCCTTTATTGTCTCATACAAAAATGAAAGTGAGAATGCATTGAAGTGTCAAAAAGAAAATGAATGAGCTCTTTGCTTCACTCTGCAGAGATCTACTAAACTCATATTTCTCAAACGAGAAAAAAGAAATTCAAATGGATATAAGGATATAAAAACACATTTTTTAAAACTCTTAAGAAATCAGGATGCTTGAGCTTCAAAGTCAGAAGGCTTGCACTGCAGAATTTGGGGTGATGTGTTAGAATATTATTTTAAGGTGTGTTGCTTTTTGTTTATGCTGCATTTGTTTAACCCTGTGAAGCTGTTAATTCTTTGCCTGTCTGAAACACCTGATGGTCTTAATAAAGGGCTGAACGGCTAAGAGCGAGACAGGAGCAAGGATAGGCAGGGTTGGCAGGCAGAGAGTGTAAATAGAATGAGAAACAAGGAAGAGGAGGAGCACAAGAGAGAAAGGAGAGGAGGACCACAGGGATAGGGACCAACCACCCTGACACCCAGTCAGCCACAGAGTAAAAGTTGAAAGTAAGATATACAGAAGAAAGAAAAGGAAAAAGTCCAGAGGCAAAAGGTAGATGGGATAATTTAAGTTAAGAAAAGCTGGCTAGAAACTAGTCAAGCTAAGGTAGGGCATTCAAAACTAAGAGTAAGTCTATGTGTGTGATTTATCTGGGAGCTAGGTAGTGGGCATCCAAAAGTCAAAAGAGCAAAACATCACAACAATGATGTACTAAGGGAAAACTGAGGGCAAGATAGATGTTATTCTACAACACACATTTCAGATAAGTCTGCATTTGTACTAAGCCTGCTTATTTAGAATTAGAATCTGGCAACTAGCAATGTATTTTAAAGCTTCACAAATAGAGAGTAAAATGGAAGACTATCACCATACACAATTTTTCAAAAGTATCTATTTACCCCTAAACTGCAGCTATGAAAACTGAGTTTGAAGCCAAAAATGAAGTTGTTTTTAAAGAAAGAAAAAACAAAAACAACAACAACAACAAAAAAAAAAAACACTGAAAACAAGAGAGGATACCCTTTGAGTTTAAAATCAAATGTCTGAACTACAGGAATGGCCCCAGACATTTCCAGACAGCAGTAAGGATTTCAAATGGATGAGCTGTCTGTCGGGTCAGTGGCATCCGTGTGCAGCAGGAGTCACTGCAATGAACTGAGACAAGGCTGGAGGCAAACCCAAAGGCAACCAGATGAGAACTGCAACATTTGAAGAGACACCCACATAAAAACCTGCCTATTTAACAAATTGCCCATATAAACTGAGCATGAAAAAATAAAATTTCTAAAACTATTTTTTTTTAAAAAAATGAAAAATCCCACGAGAACTATCAATATCAAAACTGTATTCATTAACAATTCAAACTCCAGATTCAGGCATGATTTGAATCATGATAAAGACCCCTGCTGAAATATCTCCAAGCATAAACAAAGCCTACAACTTCTCTAAGCAGTTCTTTTGGACTTGGGCATTTATAATGTTGTCATTAGTCCACTTGTCCTGTGACCGGTTTGTAAAAAGAAACAAAGCTGTGCTACTAGAGCAACCACTACAAAAGAGTGCCAACCTTCCCAATTAAACCAGGAAAACTTCCTAGTTTATACCAAAAACAACAACAAAAACAACCACAGTATTGCAACTTCTACAAGCTCTTAAATTTGTAAATTACTATAGTTGAGAATATTTCAACTCCACAGAAAGAGAGAAATAATATTTTTATAATCAAAATACAGTACCCCATGTGTGGCTCTGAAAGGGAGCTACTTAGTACAGCAAAGTTACATCTCCACAGGACAGAAGGAACACAAAAATGACATTATTTAACTTTCAATCTAACGACAACTTTGCAGCCAATAACACAGAATGTCTCTGCCTCTCTTCTTGGACCCAGGACAATAAATTTCATTTCTTTTTGATCCTAGGGGACTTACAGTAAAAAATAAAAATAAAAAACAACTAACAGACTTCAAAAAAATGGTTTGGAAGGAAATTATATTTTCTTTTACCCTTTCTTTATTAAAAAGAAATACTAAATAGATGTGCAAAGAACAGATAAAAAGCAGGTTTGCTATCAATCATTTTTGGTAAAAGAAACCACATCCTACCCCACAGTATTGTATGAAGACTGCTGACTATCTTTGACTTCATGGAATAAACAAAATGTATTAAACAAATAAAACCACCTCTTTCAAAGCTGAAAAAAAAAGAATCTAAGTAAGCAACAACACACATGGCAAGATAACTAACTTTCTGAGAGACAGTTTCCAAAACAAGAATCAATTAAAAAAAAAGGTATAAGTATCCAATCAGTTCTTAATTAAAAGAACAGATACCCAGGATTCAGCGCAATGACAAGTGGCACAGCTGCAAGTCCCTATCATTAATCTAGGTGTCCTTAAAAAAAATCGAGACAGTTCTCAGGTTAACAGTGTTAGATAAAACCCAGAGGAAGGAAATTAGAATAAGGAACATTTTGTTTAAAATGAGTTTTTCTAACATTTTAATGTTCTTCCTTTCTTGTCCTGATTTTTAAGCCCTTCTACCCAGAGTATTTTCTTTATGTTAAAGAAAATAAAATACGTTGATTCTAAGAATCTTACTAGATTTCCATGTGTTTTGTCTCAGCTCCCACATTAATCCAAACAATAAGGGCTTTAGAACATTAATAAATAACCTCCTGCTGCTGGCACCTGGATGCCAAGTACAGCAATGCTGAGGACAAAAGATTTCATAGTTCAAGAGGCACAGTTAAGGAAAAAGTTGCTCAGGGAATCACTCTTATTTAGCACAAAGATGCTTAAAAATTGCATGAAATCAGTCAAGTAACTATAGAAACCGATTTCTTCAGCTCCATATCACACCTCAATTGTCTTTATTATCGTCTGCTGTCAGATCCTTAACCAGGAATGTGAACAGGCCTGATGATTTATTCAGGAGGGAAAAGAATCTGTAGGTCAAGTGAAAATTCATTCTCTCTCTCTCTCTCTCTCTCTCTCTCTCTCTCTCTCTCTCACACACACACACACACACACACACACACACACACACACACACAGTCACATGCACGCAGCCCTTCAACCTTAGGTACTTTCATTTCATTCTGTTCTCAGTAGCTCTGGGGGTAACTCCAGTGAGATCCAATATTAAGGCTCAATTAAAATAAGCTCCAATTAGTGGAGCTTTTTTCTCTGAGGCTAGAGAAGTCAGGAAATGGATATTGGGAAATGTAAAAAGTCAGCTACTGAGAGGAGGCTGCAGACATAAATGAACTTATTTGTTGATTTCTACAGTTGCTATGCAGAGGCCTCTGGGAGTAAAAGCTTAACCAGTCTAAGCTATAAACTAAAACCCCCGCAGCTAAACATGAACTGTGTGAAACAAGGGCTCCATTCCAGAACAGAAAACTGCTGGGCCCAGAAAATTAAAAGCCAGAGGCATTTTCCATTTAAAACTAAATCCCAGTACCGCCTCCCAGCCAAAGAATTATAAGCAGTATCAGATTTACAAAACGAACAATTACCCTGGAAAAATGTAGCCTATTGTACAGTCCCAGATGCTAAATCTCAAAGTTTCTTTCTTTCTTTCCTTTAATCCCACGCTGTATTCCTCCAAGTATATGATTGGAGTTTACAAAGAGTCATTTCCAGACAGGCCTAAGCCTTGAAAATAAATTTTAAAAGGAGAGCACATAGCTCACTGACCTCATTTGAAGTACTGCCCTTGCCTTCAGCAGTTCCTGTCCTTCCCCAAGGCTTTTGCAAATGGTATGCAACAGCAAAATAAACCCTGACCTAATTGCCAAGAGAGAGGCTGCCAACCTTCCCTCAAACACAAAGACCAGAACTGTAACTTGAAAGTCCTACCTCTTTGGCCTTCTGCTTTAATCTCAGCTGTTCTGGATCTTCTTTATTGGAACGGCTCTGTCAAAGGAGAAAAAAAAAATTAATAGAAATCATCTAAATACTAGCATTACTGTTAAATATTTAATAAATGATTTCTCCTGTGATTGAAAACCCTAGCTCCAGGGGCAATGCCTCAATCCAGTCTAGCTGAACTCCAGCCCTGGCCCCTCCTCCTCCTCATCTGGGCCGGCTGCTGCAGTTCTAGCCTGGAGGAAACACAGACTGAAAATGATGCTAACAATGTCAGTCAGGTCCAGTCAAGGCATGACATTGTTCTTGCTGGAACACAGCAAAAATGAAAACTGGCCTGAACAGAAGAAAAGGAAAAGAAGTGTGTGCTCAAATGAATGAAAATAAACAATACTGGCTCATCTTTAGGTGAAGCCATTTTGACAAAGCATATGTTATTTCAACAGCTATTAAAATCAAGACCTCAACTAGCCTAGAATGAAATATCTTAAAAAGAGTAATTTCTGAAAGCGAAAGTATTAAATACATTCTACTATTTTTATTAGTTTTAGATCCTCTATAACACTTAATGAACTAATGCTATATACTATAAAAAACAAAACATAATAAAAATGAGCACGAAGAATGTGGTAGGTACTTCTCTAGTACGGTAGTGGGTTAGACATCTATCTCTGATGAATAACATATGAATAGAAGTCTGAATAACAAGAAATAGCTAGTCACATTAAGGCATTATGAAAGAGAATTCAAATAGAAAATACAGTAAATACCAAAGCCTTACAATGACAGCAAGCCTGAGTAAAGACAGGATGACCATGTGTCTGAAGCACTAGAAAACATGAAGAGAAAGGAGGTTAATGTGTTGCCCTGTAGCCATTTCAAGAGGTAGAAGGGTTTAATTGTAGTTTTAACAACCAGCCACTGATTGTTAAAGGAAGACTATTGTAATAGGAATACTATTATTACATAGCACAAGAATGAGAATACATTGGAGCAACCCCTTAGAAAGGGGCTCCAGCAGCATACAGAGTGGTTACTACAAAGATCTATGACTGAAGGCACAGTGCCCACATAATTAAGAAACTCTTGTCAAACAACTGCTATGAATAGAGGGTGGCTGAGAAGACAAAATGCAGTCTAGAACAGCAGTAGCAATGATGACCATGACAAATAAACTCAAATCCCATTTTGCAAGTAAAGCCAACCAAATTTGTGGTAGACTAGATACAGGATACAAACTAAAGAGGAAAAAATATCTAGATTCTGGCCTAAGCAACTGAGAGGAATTCTAACTTTCTATAAGGGAAGATCTAATGAAAAGTACACAGCAAAATAAAAAGAATCAACTGTCAGTTTTAGGTGCCAAATCAAAGGTGAAATGTCCTAAGTTGGACACAAGCTTGGAACAGACCCGTGAGCACAATGAATGGAATGAGTAAAGGAGTGTCAAAGAGAAGTCAGGTACTAGATAATGTAAGGCTTTTTTTGAAGTCCTGTAATAAGTTTGGATAAGTCCAACCAACAACAACAAAAAAAAAATCAGTAAAAGCTATGTTTTATTTTGAGACCCAGTTTGTCCTGTAGTCCTAGCTGTCCTGGAGCTCACTGTGTAGACAAGGATGGCCTTCAACTCAAAGAGATCCACCTGCCTCTAACTCCCAAGTACTAGCATTAAAGACATGCACTACCACACCTTGAAGACCCTGTGTTTTATTAGGAAAACCATTCTTATGAATGGATATGGAAGGAAAGAGAGATCAGATAGAATATATAAAATGTCTTGGACTAGGGTGGTGACAATGTACTGAAGAGAGGATGGACACTGTAGACTAGTGTGAGTAAACTGGGCATGGGCATGGAGAAGAAGCAAAGGTGACATTTAGGTTTTTTTCCATGAACCTATGGTAAATTAGGTTGTTACTGATTGAGTTAGAAAAAGTCATATTAAAGGAGAGAAAAATCAGAAGTCTGTTTGGACATAAACAATTTCAGAGTCCTATTCGCCAGAAAAGTGACAGCAAACAACCAGTCAACTTACATGCCAAAAGTTTCAGAATATAGACCAAGCTGGAAGTATAATCTCAGGAGAACACAAAGACATAGAAGGCATAGGACTAAAACCCAGGGCATCCCAATATTTAGCACTCTACCTCAAAAAGGAAGAAAACCCAAAGAGACTAAGAACCAGATATCTTACATAAATAATAACTAGAATAGTATTTAATAGTTTTATAACCTTATTTAATGCAGTTACTAGAAATAAAGAACCAACAAACTACCTTGTTACAACAGTGAGTTTAAGCTCAAGAAGAATATCTTCCTGTCCCATCTACCTGCCCTTCTCAGCAAAGAAGTCACTTTGGGGCTGAGACAGTAGGGCAGTGACAATGCTATGATGCTCACATCCTTGTGGAAGTTTGGGATGTCTCAGGAAGACACAGACCGGTGGTCATAATGGTAAGGCCAATAAAACAGCATGTTGGAAACAGCAGATAAGAGTCAGTCAAGCTGGTGATATATGAATGGCATTGATACATGCACTGACTGAAGACATGAGCTAAACATGCTAAGGATAATAACAAAAGCAAATTTTCTGACTCCTGGAGAAAAAAAATCTGCAGTTATTTGAAGGTAGAGAGGCAGGCAGAAAATACAAATGAATGAACGATGAATGAATGAATGAACCCACAGGCTCGTTATTCATGAAAAGGGAGGAGAAGAAAGCCTTTCATCTAACAGAGGGTTAATATGTGAAGGTAAGCTAATGGGAATAATTAGTGCCAGGCAATCCCCACAGAAGTGGCCGATTCAGGAACTTGTTAAGGCTGATGCATGAAAATTAGATAAGGAAAAGATGTTGGTACAATTTATGAACATGAAAATAATCCATGTGAAACTAAAAACTTTCAAGGAAAGATGGTCAATTTAAAATGGGAAGAATTGGTAGACAACTACACACCCAGATTATCAGGTTGCCTTTTGAGGTTAGCTCAGAAAAATGTATCATCACCTCTGTGTACATCTGTCAGAAGTACATGGCTTACATAAAGTCTTAAGAAAATACCAAATGAATGCAGGTGAAGGTCATAACAGAAAATAAGTTGAAAGTAAGATCTTGTAAGAAGGAAAAGAAGTACCTAAGACAATTGAGACTGTCAGAAGAAATGTGAAAAGTGTGAACTACTACTAAATGAAATGCTTATTTCTGAAAAGAAAAATGGAACATGAAAAAAAGAAACAAGTGAGATGGCTAATGAAATATGAACAGGGGTTTATGCTATGCACAACAGTGTTACATTCTCTCAACTAAGGTTAAAGGGAAGGTGGACATACTGACAAACTAAAGTTTGTGTGTATCAGGTACATACAAAGGGTGGGGGAATGAGTAGAGATGAACAAATGCCAGAAAATGACAGGATCTTAGAAAAGGGCAAATGTATAGATTTGATACTATAATGTAAGTATAAAATTGTTTTAAAATAGATCAAAGAAGCAATTAGAGCCACGTATCATGATTGATCCTTGTAAGTCACAGCACTTCAGAAAAGGCAATAGTATAGTGAGTTCAAAGGATGTATGGGCTACACTAGTATTAGTACACAGATCCTGTTTCATCACAGGAGACTAAAAGGGTTACAAACAGTAGTTGGTGGGCTGGGTGTAATGGTGCATGTCTTTAATGTCTGCATTTAGGAAGAGGAATTCTGGTCTCTATGAGTTCAAGGCTAACCTAGCATAGGGGAAAAGTTCCAAGACACCCATGTCTACATAATGACTGTCTCAAAAAAAAAAAAAAAGAAAAAAAGAAAAGAAAGGGGGACCATAATAGTCTGTAACTAGGAAAAAATAAATCTTTCAGGAACATGAGAAATTAAATTACCTTGGCTGCTCTTAGTAACATCTCTCTTTCTTCTAGATCCTTTCTCTGTTTCTCCAATTGGTCTAGCTGTTCAAGAAATTTGAGTTGTGATCGGGTATCAGTAGACAAGATGTAATTTTCACTTCCCTAGAAAAAAACAGTCTTATGATTTTGGGCAATACATTTGCCTTAGACATTTTGATAAACAATACAAAAGAGTACCGGATATACAAAGTGAACTACATTTTTTCAGAAAAGAGTATTTTTTAAATTTTGTTAAACAAGCAAACAAACAAATAAAAGCCAGAAACTTTAATCAGCCATAATTTGAGAGATGATTATTTTAGCATTTACATTTCAGAACGATTTCCTTAGTCTACTACTCAAGAGACAGGAAAAGTAATTAAGTCAAACAGATCCTATCAATAGAAAAAAGAATCCAGTAGAATATAACATTATTTATATTTCAATCTCCCTTAGTCAAATTAATTCCTATCTATTGACATAAACATGAGCAATTAAATTTAAGATGAAAAGCAAGAAACCTCACTGAAAAAGACAGCTAAGAAAAAGAAATAGATTGGCTTAATCTTAACTAGAATATTAATTTAAATAAAATAAAACCCTTCTATCCTAATAGAACATAAAATGGGAACATTAAAATCACAAGTCAGGAGGTGGTGGCACATGATTTAATCCCAGCACTATGGAGGCAGAGGCAGGCAGATTACTTCAGTTGAGGCTTCCAGGACAGCCAAAGAAACCCTGTATCTCCCCCCGCCTTCCCCAAAACGATGGTCTTGTATATAATTTGCTTATTTATCATTTATTTATTTATTTATTTATTTATTTATTTATTTATTAGCAGGCTGTCACTATACAGACCACGATCTCCTGGAACTTGAAGTCATCCTGCCTTAGCTTCCCAAGTAGTGGGAAAGCATATAATTTACAAATGAAAACTGTAACAAAAAAACTCTACTTTCTTAACTTCAGTATTCCATAAAAATGACACAATTAAAACTATCTCACTTATCTGGGTATGCAAAAGTACAATAACAGTGCCTTCACATCTAAGTATTTTCTAGTTTCTTCACCTATGGTCACCTAGCACCATCTATAATACAAATACCCAGATGAGGGTTGTTGTGGGCGAAGCAGAAAGGTTTATACAATCAACACTTACCCTGCCATCTACTAATCTCAGCAGTCAACACTTGAGGAGACTCTTATTGCCAAAAACAACTCAACCCTGAGCTCACAGTAAGCGCCTGTCTGGGAACACAGCACCACACTACTTCCATCTCTGTCTCCACTTTATCCTCGTGCTCGTGACTGCTTCAATTAGCTTAGACTAAGAGATTTCATATGCCCAAGATTCTTTTTAAATTAAATTTTTATTGTTAGCATTTAACTAGATCAAAAGAATATTACATGGTTTAAGGAAGAAGGATGTATTAGTGCTACTTATTTTACTTAAAGTTTAATACAAGAATTCCCAAATGGTCTTTAAAGTTAAATAATACAAGATAAAATGTGGAATACATTATAGGCCAAGTATAGAGGTTAAGCTCAATAACAGCGGTTTCCTAAATACTTCATCTTAACCATTTCTGTGTTCAGAAACTCCAGAGACAGTTTTACAGACAGAAATTTAATTTAAAAGGGACAATAAACACTAAATTAAAAAGCACTGGCATTCTAAAATTTAACCATATCACATTCTCATTCTGTTTCCTTTACCAATTCAGATACAACTGCCTGCGGTATAATTTCTCCTTTTTCTTCTAGCTACAGTAAATAGCTATCTTTCCCTAACCTACTAAATCCCTTCCACCTTTGTTACGTAATAGGTAACCCCAATTTTATCATGTTCCTTCCTGTCTCTGTGAACCAACTAACTAAAGTCTTCATGTCCAAAAGTATGAAAGCCACTAGCTATCCAGACTCAAGTGATATTAGCACCATCAGGTGACCCCACCTAAAGGAACCATCACAGTACCTTTCAGGTAGAGTGAAACTGCTCCGTGGCCACAGCACAGATTACAGCTTCAGCAGAGCTGGGTGGTGGTGATACACATCTTTAATCCCAGCACTGTGGAAGCGTACCTCTGTGTTCAAGGCCAGCCTGGTCTACAGAGTAAGTCCAGAATAACTAGGGCTACACTGAGAAATCTTGTCTTAAAAAAGAAAGAAAGAAAAAGAAAAAACAAATTAAAAAAAATCACCAAGCAGAATAAAAAAAAAATCACTAGACTACATACTAGATTACTTCTACATTTTTATTTAAATTTCAGTTAATGACCTATTAGAACATTATACCTAATCAAGTAAAAGAATTTCAAAACTAATATCTAGAGTAGGAAAGATGGTAGAATTTTGCTTTTAATAATGGTGGCTCATTTTTTTTAATAGTTTGTGGAGTATTTCTTTTATTGTATAGATAAAAATAAATCTCAAGAGACAGAAGGACCAGGCCAAATCTTTGATACACATACTATTTTTACAATTAAAGTTCATAAAATAGTGGTAAGTTTTAAAGTATGTTCAAATGCAATTAGGTGGCTATCTCTCCATATAATATTGAGACAGCGATACTAGTTGTGCTAAAGAATGAATGTAGGGAAAAGGGTGCAGGATAAATCAATTAGCACAGTGGTTCTCAATCTGTAGTCATGATCCCTTGGGGGTGTCGAACAACTCTTTCACAGAGGTTGCATACCAGATAGTTACATTACGATTCCTAACAATATAAAAATTATAGTTATGAGTACCAACAAAAGTAATTTTATGTTGGGGGTCACCACAAAATAATAAACTGCATTAAAGTCACAGCATTAAGAAACTTGAGAGCCAATGGTATAGCAGTAAATTAAGAAGGTGTTTATCTTTAAGTTAAGTGATCAAGGTCTTTCAAATAGGGTAAATACTACACATTTTCTATGGATACCAAATCCTAGTAACACGGTAACTGATACAATAGAAAGATTCTACCTGAAGATTATACAACAAAGTTTTGAATGGCACACTGAAATGAAATCTATCGGGAAAATTTCCTTGGGGTTAGAAGCTGTGGTGCAGAGTAGGCCAAGGCTGTATCTCATGCTGACAGCCAAACCTGACAATGTGTAAGATTCAGGCATGAAAAGGTCATAGAGTAAAAAGGTCTGTATACAAGGGCTGGAGTCCCTAACAAGATGCCAGGAGAAGCCATCAGCCATTATCTTCAAAGGCAGAGTCTCAGTTGCAGTGGAGACCCAGGATTGAAGGCATAATGGGGAGAGACTATTGATACCATGCGGTAAGGGCAGAGTCCCTGAAGAGAGCCCAGGAGGCCAACGATGAAGGTGCTGCCCATGGACACCCCAGTCAACCGGAGACGCCAGGACCAATGACAACAAAAGACAGCTGCAGCTGTGTGAAAAAGCTGGATTGAAACTTCAGGACAAACTGGGTATGCTATAAATGGCAGAGCTGGTGACAGGAAAGCCTTTGGAGCCCAGAAGACCATGAGTGTCACGTACTGAGCTATTTATACTGATGGACTTTGCTTTGATTGTGATGGACTAGGGCTTCGCTTTGGTTGTAACTGTGCTATGGTTCTTTCCTCTTAAAGTAAGAAAGTATATAATTTTTCTTTAACTTATAGGATCCTACAGTTAAGAGTTTTTGACTTAAAAAAAAAGTTAGACTGAGTGGTGGGTTCTTTTAAAGTCTGTACAACTTTTAAATTTGTTGTAATGATTTGACTTAAGGACCCCTCCACGAGATGAAACCCATATTCAAACACTGCTTGGGTGACCAAGAACCAGAGAATAGATAGCCCAGAGACCTAGGGTAAAACCAAATGCTACTGGCCTTTAAAAAAAAAGTAATGATAAAATGATTTCTAATGATATTCTGTTTTACTCATAGATCAGAGGCTTGCTCAGCCATCAACAGAGAAACAAAAAGTATCTGGTTCTTTGTAATGATTAATAAAATAAAGAAGCCATTAACTAAAATAACAAAGGAAAAAAGGAAGACACAAGTAAGAATCAGAAACAAAATTACTACCAATTGGCAATTACTACCCCCAACTGAACTGACATAAATAATAGATAACCTACAAAAATAGACAAATTCCTAGACTCACATAAAATGAAATACTGACACTGTTTTCCACAGCTTTTTATGATGCTGATTCCATATTTTTAAGACAGTCTGATAAATTCTCACAAAAAATTTGAAAGTAAGGACCTTAATACCTATACATCTTCCAAAGCTCTACATGAAGCAGAATGTATGTAAGATGGTACCTCCAGCTAGCTTACTAGGGAAACAGCAGCAGATATTCAGGATTTCTTTTCATCTGTATGGCTGGCAATGAAAACTTAAACTTAAACGCAAACTTAAAACCTCATGAAGTTACCTATTTACCAACATGTTGGAAATCTAGCTTTCCCACATTTTTTAATAAAGAAAAGAGTTGTTTCTTTCATGCCATTATCTTTTCTTAAAATCCATAATCATTTAGTTATTTCCCTGGCTCTGAAACTACAATTCACAACTGATCTTACCCTAAAAGCCACGAAGCAATAAAAACTACAATTCAAACACACTAAGTACCTTCATCTTGGCTAGAGCAGGTCATTTTGTAACAACACTAGAAATCAGACAGGCGATCCTTGCATTTAGTCGTTCATAGCAGCAGTCAAGAACAGTAATGAGTGGCACAGTATGAGCACTCATCGTCACCATGTAACTAATAGCCATATATCTGTCAGCAGAGTCCAGACCACCAAAGAGAACACCCACCACCAATATTCTACCCTAGCACAGCCTCCTCCCTAACACAGTCCTGAGGAGGAGCCTCGGACAAAACAGGTGCGTATTCCAATATGCAACACAAAACCTCTTTTAGACACTACTTCAAATCCTATTTTAATTTGATTTACTATATAAGCATATCCAAGTACGGCAATTAAGGAAACTACTAACAGGAAATATAAGTCTCAATCTTCCTTCTAAAAATACATCAAGACTGGACCTTTGTCCATGAATCCACCTTCAACATTGCTCGGGAGGTGAGAATCTACACTTCCTTGATGATTCCCTTTACCTTGTAAACAGTCATTCGATGCTGAGCAATTGTAGTTAGTTTCTCTAGAAGGCCTCGTAATCTCTCCTGTGTTGCATGGGAGATCAAGTTCACAGCATCAGAGTTAAGTTCCGTAATGTCATGCTTTTTACCTGTAGAGGCAGGGAAAATCCATTACATGTTTTAGTAGTGGCTTATAATTGAAATAATTAGCACAGCAGGTATTCAGTTCCCCCTGGAAGTCATACCCATTATGAATAAAGGTTTGGAGATTATGATTTTCCTGGTAAAGTCACAACTTCAAAGATCTTAGACATTACATTAATAAAACCTAGCCTGGAGCCTCAGAAAATATAGACATTGTTTCCCTTAGCCTCTAGAATCATTCTCCCTGCAAGGTCATTTATAGGACAAAGTTAATAAGAACACAAATCAAGTTTAGTGTTCAGGGAGGAAAATGGTAACTGCAGAAATTAGTGTTATATTCTGTTAATTTTAGTAATTAAAAAAATGGAAAGTCACATTTTACCGTGTTTGACACTGTTAACAATTCATGACATTCATTTCAGTGAACTTAAATTATATATCTGTTAATTCCTGATCTATAAAAGTATCTTTTTTGTCTGTTACCTATTACATTTTGCACTACTCATGTTTTCAAAAATTAACCTATTAAATTACAAGTTGAAATATGCTCAAAAGCCATTATTTCACCATCAATTTCAAAACTTGTTTCTTTTAAGAACAACTTGTTTTATCCAGGTTGTAATGAGGAAAAAAGTATTAGGAAAAGAATCTGAATGACAAGCAAGAACAGCACCTCTCTTACAAACAGTCCTAACAGTATCCAAACAGTGTTTCTCAGACAAAACAATAGATCTGCAAACCTAAAGAGACAGGCAGTAAGGAATCTAAGTCAGATATGTTTTTAAAGGCTCCTGTGTGTTCTTTTTGTTGCTGTTGTGGTGGTGATTTTGCTGTGTGTGTGTGTAATGCTAGCGATGCAGTCTTTACACTTGCAGGGCAAGTGTTTTATCTACTGAGCCATTTCCCCAGCCCTCTGATGTTGTTTTAAAACACATTTATATATATCTTCACAGTAATTTAAAAATATTGTTTGATTTTTATATGCTAATTCATATAATACATACTCATATTTTCATCAAAGGCTGAACTACAGCAAAAACATAATTTAATTACAACTCAAATATACTTTGGCATTACTACAAAATAAATTTTAATTTAAAACAAAGTCTAAGTAAACTAACTAGGGAGAAGATTTAAAATTATCCAACTTATTTTAAACTAAGTCTTCAAAATCTAATTCATTACTTTGGCAAAATTGAGCTCATTTCCAATACAAACTGAAACAAAGGGAAAAGAAAAACCCACTACAAATTCCCAACTACCTTTAAACACTCAACATGAATAATTAGTTGGGCCCTGTATACAAGAAAGAGTAAACTTTCAAAGCAATCAAATGGTTAAAATTGTAATTGAACATGGGTGGCAGAGATGGCTTGTAACTAAGAGCCTGCACGCTGCTCTTCCAGGACTTGAATTCAATTCCTTACATACTTGATGGTGACTCACAACCTGTAACTCCAGCAGCCTCCCTGTGCAACAGCACTTACATGCAGATACTCACAGACACACACACATATACAAACTTAAAAAATAAATAGGCATCACAACAAAACATAGGGTAGACATAGGAAGTGAAGTTATTTCAAGAATAAATGACATGGGAAATCAAGTTATTTAAAGATTAAAGAAAATGAGCATATAAAATTAGTTCTTGGGGAAGAGGAATTTGAAAACAATGATATACTTATAAAGCTGAAGCAATTTATTTAAAAATCTATACTATCTATAGAAGGCTATGGACTTGATTCTTAGCAAAACAGATAAAATATAATAATTGGTATTTATTTTTTAAAATCTATAATATTTTTGAAGCATTAGAAATAAAAAAGCGTTAATAAATAATTCCTGAGTATATGCAACAGCAAATGTTCAAACTTATCTTCATTAAGCAACAAATCTTAATGCACAAGTTAAAAACTATAGATTAATTCCCACTTTTAATACTTTTAAAAAAAGCCAACAATTGATTAAGGAGAGTTAGTGCTTGTGTATTTACTATTGACTTTATTGAATGTCTGCAATTAAGATAATTAGAGAAAAATGAAGAATACTGACATTTAATCTAACCTTCACAAAATGTGTAATTTCTATCTTTAGGAATGCCCTCAGTTGGTAACTATTGTGTAGCAAAGAATTTTATTATAAATGGAAAACATCTCCAAAAATAAATGAACATTCATTCACCCCTTGGCTGTTTCCTTTAAGCTTAGATTCAGAGAATTTTTACGGTTTACATTTTGTATTATATTGTTTGTTTCATCATTAAGAACTGAAAACACAAATAGTTTCTTCAATTCTCCTAATGCAAATAGGGCTGCAAACTACAGCCAACAAGTCAAAACTCATCTCTTTCTAAGCACAAAGTTTTATAGGAATCCAATCAATTGGATTAAAGGTTTGTTTCTCTCCCAAAACAGATGCAGAAATTCTTTCTGTTTGTGACTTAGTTATGACAATTAATGTGTAGCCCTTAGGTATAGTTAATCAAAAGGAATAAGGTAAGGGTAGATCACATGAGGGCACAACATAAAGAGAGCTGTCCAAAGACCACCAAGGAGTCCCTGGCAAGGAATCCTGATGAGCATCCAGATCTGATGTTCCCACTCCAGAACTGTGACAATAAATAGGTATCATTGAAACCTTCAAGGCTATGGTATTTTGTAAAGGAAGCCAGAACCCCAACAAGATACAGTCCTGCTCATCTGTTCATGTTGCTCCTGTTTGCTTTCCACCTGAACAAGAAAGTTGAACATCTGTGACAAAGATCACAAAACACAAAGTGAAAAAAATCACCTGGTCCCATGTGGGAAAGAGTTGCTGTCTTCAAACCTTAAGAAAATGATCATCTAGGGATCAAAAGGCAGCTCGGTAGTTAGGAACACATACTGCACTTGCATAGGATTCAGACAGCGTTCCTAACATGCACATTGTGAAGTTCACAGTCACTAGTAACTCAAGCTCCAGAAGTACTCTACACCTCTGACCACTGTAGGCACCCCCACATTAGAGAATATACTCATATACACAGAATCAAAAATAATATTTAATTTAAAATGTAACATTTAATGAAGATTTAAATCAAACTGAATAATATATTTGGAAGGTCAAGAGAACTGAGCCAATGCTCTGGATAACAAGGCATTATAGTCAACTGATGACAGCATTTTCTCAATAGAGGCTCCTCTTCCCAGATAACCTAGCTTGTGTCTAACCGACAAAAACTGTACCAGGAAAAACTATTGTTAATTATAGTTGCTCACAAAAAATAAAATGGCCTTATTTAAATTACAAAATAAAAGTGTCCAATATAACACAGCTAAAACATTCATTTATTATGAAGCAGACCAACTATGGTGTAATTCATATAAAATCTATAATCTGTTTCTCATTACATTAAATATTATATATTATAGTCTTTCACATGCTATTGAAATTTGGCTCCAAATAATAAGAGTATATTCTCTTCCATTTTCTTAAATTCACTGCAGTCAACTAAAGACCACCCTGTACCTAGAGAAAAATCTTAATATTCTAGCTCAGTTTTCTTCTATGGTAAGAGTGGAATTAAATTTCGGATTGATACAAGGAAAAGGGGATTGTTTCTTATTATGTATTCCTATAATTTATAAATACAGCATTTAAAATAAGACTTATTTATCTACACACATTACTAAGGATCAACAAGTAATAAGATTTTAAAAACAGCACATAGAAAATATTCATGCAAAATGTGTAGTTCTACTACTCAAAAACAAAAAATGAAAAAATTATTAACTTCTATCATCTATCCCCAAAAGAAAAGGTTGAAGAAATTATTTTTAAACTAAAATGCTTCATTCTATAATACTCAGGAAATCTCAGAATATTTCTAGAGCCTTATCTAGAAGAGTTTGACCATATCTTCAAATAACATTTCTCTTCAACAAACGTACATATCAGATCAATAATCATAATTCCATACTCACCAATGTCTAAAATTCTCTTTTGTAGAGCTCCAGTGAAAAGAAATGGTTCTTCTTTGCATGACTGAATGAGTGTGCCAACAAATTCAGAATGTGTTGCTAAGATGCAGGCATTTTCTTCATCAAGGTTGACCTCTGCCATGCAAGTCACATCATTGATGTCATCTTCACCTCTAAAGGGACAAAAGGTTACAGTTTGGATAGTGTGTATGTATGTTTGTGCATGTGTGCATGTGTACACACACACCTATGCATGTGCATGTATATACACGATTTCAGAGTGTAAAGAAACATAGGTCTTAGGCAAATATGGCAGTGCCCACTGTAATCCCAGTACTTGGGAAGCAGAGGCAGGAGAAACAGCAGTTAAAGGTCATCCTTGGCTACACAGCCAGTTCAAGGTCAGTCTTCGCATGGAAAACAGAAACAGATCTTTCTTATAAATAATATTTTATAGAGTCTACTCAATGAAGTGAACTGAAGAAGACTATCTTTCTTCTTAAGATTTTAAAATTAGAAGAGCAAGCTTCCCAGAAGAGAAATCAGAACCTGCTGTGTGTTCCAGAGTTTATCTTTTCTTTTGGTAGTTGAGACACACCAAGAGGGATTTGGACTTACCCCAGTCATCCACAAATCCTCTACAATGAAAGACAAGGAAATGAAAACTGACTCTTTGCTTTCATCCAGGATTGTTAAAAGCCCCTCAAGATTTCCCCTGTGTCCACTATTCCACCTAATGGCAGCAGAAACACCAGATCATAAAGTCACATCACATAAAGTCCCTTAATTTTTTTTTCTTTTTTCTTTTGGTTTTTCGAGACAGGGTTTCTCTGTGGCTTTGGAGCCTGTCCTGGAACTAGCTCTGTAGACCAGGCTGGTCTCGAACTCACAGAGATCCGCCTGCCTCCCTTAAGAAACTATTTATAAGCCTAGCTATTCTGAAATCAAATTTCTAAATTAATTTTGTTTTTATGATTCACATTTTTGCATATGTCCTCTGTACCAAATGAATGCATTAAAACACTCTCAAGCAATTGGCTACAAAGGACCTATAGTCAAAGTATAAATAAAATTGCACACATGCACATACATACACACAAAAACAAACTTGAAATAGGTTTGGGTTCCTTGTTTTACACCAGTAAAATTAATCTTATAGGGCTGTTATTTGTCTATAGTACTAATGAGAGGATATGTAGTTAAGAGAAATATAATACAATTCCCTCTGAGGATCCTATCCACCACATGTGATAACAGTCTAACTAGACTGATCATGATTCACATACTAAATATACAAAAGTGATTATTATATTAACAAGTGTTCCATAAAAAGATGAGCAAATGGTACATCATGAGTCTATGTCAAATAGATTTAAATTACATATCCCTTAGTAATGATGCATTTATGTAAAGAATAATAATAAACACTCAAGAAATGAAGATCCTTGGTGTACACCTTTAAAAAGCAGCACATTAAAGACAAGAAAATAAAAATGCCCATAAAAACATACAGAAGTGAGCCAAGTGAAAAAAACGATGCCAGACACACAGTTTAAAGTTAAAGAAAGAACAATGGCTTTAACATCATGCAGGCTACTAACTGCTCAACGTGTAAAGGTGTGTCTATAATAGCAGAAAAAGAAAAAAATTAGTATCTCAAAATTACTACTGAAACATTCATAATAAAGAAAATAGAGTCCATCTATTAATATCACAAAGTTCTCAATGGCTCTAAAAATCAACTTCCAACTGATATAAACCAAATGAAACGTCCAGATTTAAATATTTAAACACAAAGCATAATATGTCAAAAATAATTACCAAAACAAGGATCAGAGTCTAAGATTTTTTAAAGAAATTATTTTTAAAAGGCCTAAGTAAAATACTTCAAAATGACCTAGCATCCCTGGGTACTAAAAGAGGGAGTAATGAGTTTTGATGTTCTACTATACAGTAAAGTGACTATAAAAAAATGACTGTATGTTGCAAAACAAAACAAAATAAAACACAAGGATCTTGAATATTTTCACCAAAAAGCAATGGCAATTGATTAAGACTGTATTAATTACTCTGATTTGAACATTATACAATGTATACATGTATTGAAACATAACACAGTATCAATAAATATAACATTATAGCTCAAGTGCCAATTTTCTAAGGAACCATCATACTGATTTCTAAAGTAGCAATACTTCCACCGGCAATGGAGGAGTGTTTTCCTTACTCCTCATCCTAGCCATCACCAGTTGTCAGCTTGTGTTTTTAATCTTAGACCGTTCTGAATGATGTAAGATACATATAACACTCCTAGGCATAAACCCAAAGGACACCCAGTCCTACCACAAAGACATTTGCTGAACTATATTTACAGAAGCTTTATTCATAATAGCCAGAAACTGGAAACAACCAAGATACATTTACACAATGGAGTTTTATTTAGCTATTAAAAAAAATGACATCTTGCCGGGCGGTGGTGGCGCACGCCTTTAATCCCAGCACTCGGGAGGCAGAGGCAGGCGGATCTCTGTGAGTTCGAGGCCAGCCTGGTCTACAAGAGCTAGTTCCAGGACAGGCACCAAAGCTACAGAGAAACCCTGTCTCGAAAAACCAAAAAAAAAAAAAAAAAAAAAAAAATGACATCTTAAATATGCCATTAAATGGACAGAACTAGAAAAAAAATCATCCTGAGCGAGATAACCCTGACCCAGAAAGACAAACTCATATAAGTGGACATTAATTAGCTATAAAGTAAAGGATAATCATGTTATAATCCATAGACCCAGAAAGGCTAAATAACAAGGAGGGCTCCAACAGAATGCATGGACCTCCCTGGGAAGGGGAAATAGAACAGCTTTCATGATTGGACTGGGGACAGTTGGAATAAACACTGAGATCCTAGTCCATACAGGTAACAGACTAAACAGAATGTATTCATATATTTAAAAATGTGTGCATGCATGAATAATAACAAAGAAAAGGTGGCCATTATTTTGAGTGGGGAGGGGTATGTAGGAAGGGCTGGAAAAAGAAAAGGAGGAAAATGATGTTTCAAAAAATAAAAATTATAAATAAATTAAAAGTTTATGCAGCTGGAAAGATGGTTCTGTGGTTAAGAGAATTTGCTGCTCTTGAAAAGGACCTACGTTTGGTTACCAGCACTTACATGGCAGCTTACAACGGTCTCTGGCCCAAGTTCCAGGGATTTTGACACCTTAGTGAACACAGTATGCATGTGTTACACTTACTTAACTGCAGGCAAAACACTCAAATACATAAAATTAAAATAAATGAATCTTTATTTAAAGGTTTATTACAGAGAACCAATTAAGAATGAATGCTTATAAATGAGATTTGTTTGCAGACCCATGTATATACAGCATCTTGCTTTTCTGTTAGAGTTTCTCCACAGCTACTAGAAAGAATTCAGTCTTTAGAGATCATTTCCAGGCCTCTATACTACAAGTTCAAAAACCAGTACTAGGATCTAATTCAAAGAGAAGCTCTTCCTGACAAATAAAAAACTAACTACCCAACAATTACTTTTTACCCACCTTGTCCCAACCTAACCATAATTCCTTCTGGCACAGCTAGCAGTAAGCACTGCACAGGAGCAGGGAGGGCCTCTACCGAAAAAGAAAAGGGGCAAAGAAAGAGTACTCAGGCCTTTTAAAAGTTTCTCAGGAAAAGGAGGCAGACAGTAAGAAAGCAAAGGCAACACAGGCAGCGGCACTGTCAAGAAAGACTAGACAATTTCAAGGCTATTATGCATAGCAATGTTTGTGATTCTGTTTTGGTTATATTTCCTTTTAAAGGTGAAAAGTGAAAGCCACTGAGCCCAAGTCTTCAAGTGTAATGCAAGGCCTTCTAATGAAGGTATTATGCCATATATCTATTAGTTTTAAAAAAAATATTGAGAAATTTAGTAGTTTCATAGAAAAGCCTTCAAAAGTCTGGGTACTGTAGCACATTATACAAATTAGGTACCATCCACTTGTCATGTAGTCTGTCTTCTGAAACTCCTCTATTTGTTTTCGATAAAATTAAATACTTTTTCAATGTTTATTTCTTTATATGTTTCTACTGCTAAACTCTACAATAGCATTAGATTAAGTCTTCTGAAGGAGATAGAGTTACATCCCTTTCCTGCTCATGTCTACAGAAGGAGCCTGGTTCTCCCCTTTCTCTATTATTAACAGCTCCTCCTGATCCTAGCCTCTATGAAAGTCTCAATTTTTGTCTAATCTTCAACTTGCCTTGCTCTCTTATTTTCAGCTAAAACCTGATCTATATGCTAGGTCAACTTCAATTACGTATTTTTAAAACATCTGCCCAATTTCTCTTTAAATATTTCAATTACTTCTCAAATCGGTACAACTTTTAAACTTCTGAGAACATATTTTTGCCCATTACAATAGATCTTACTATAGTAACTAATCTAATGTTCAATGTAATTGCCTCAGTTTACAACAAAACCACCCTTACTGACCATATTTTTAAAAAAACAGTATATAACTTGCACATAGATATTTAAAGAAATTTTGTGTGCCTTATAACAATGTGATGATTGCCTAAGACAATATAATAAGCAGCAGAGATGAGTAAATACAAAACAAAAAAATAAACAAAGGAATTCTGAATCACTATGCCTACCTTGTTATACTGACTCTGCCAATTACTAAGTAAAATAAAGTTTAATGTCTATGAACCTTTACTTTCGATAAAAGGGTAGAATACTAGTACCTACCCTTAGACTGAGGACTGAAGAGGGAATTTATATCAAATAGGGAGTCCACATGCTTTTCAACTTATGATGGAGGTGGCATTCCCAACAAGTCCTTTGTAAACTATAAGCTTCCTAAATTGAACAAACATTTAATATACCAAGCTGACGTAGGTGGGTCTTCTTTCTATATGTTGCTTTCATTGGTTAGTTAATAAAGAAACTGCTTGGCCTGATAGGTCAGAACACAGGTGGGTGAAATAGACAAAACAGAATGCTGGGAAAAAGGGAAGTGAGGCAAATGCCATGATTCTTCGACCTGAGACGGATGTAGGCTAGAATCTTTCCCGGTAAGCCTCCACCTTGTGGTGCTACACAGATTACTAGAAATGGGTTAACCAAGAGTTAGCCAGTAAGAGGCTGAAACTAATGGGCCCAGCAGTGTTTAAA